ACAGTTACAGTTTTTATCTATATTCAAATTTAAAAATTGGCATTACTTTCACAATATTTTCCCGGTTTAAAGTCAATTGTCACTGACACTTATTTAAAAAAAAAGTCACTTTTTCCTTATCTCAACTTTAATTTTTATTTAAAATTTATCATACGTTGCATTTAAAATGTCCCTTAATTTCAGCCTTCGTTTTAACGAAATTCAGGCCATTTTCCTTAATTACATTATAACCTTAAAACTGAATTTTGTATGGAAAAAGCAACTTCATTTCGCTGAAACGAAGATGAAATTAAGATTTTTGCGAAACTAAGGTATGTCTGAACATAGTATTAACCTTATGAGTCTTTATGTTTTATTATTTTTATAATATAGTATGTATTAGTGGTCTTTATATAATAAAAAATTAAAATTTGTAATATTTCATTATAAGAAATATATGAATTATAATTATTATTGTGTTCTTCTTTTGCGATATGCTTACAAAAGAAAATGCCTATTCTTATTGTGAAAAACTGATTTATAATGTTAAGAAAAGAAATTCCAGTGAAAATGAATAATAAATATCAAATTTATGTATTAAAATCCAATTAAAATATTACGCTATATAAATAAGTAGCTATATCGTAATGAGCACAATTATTATTATTTTTATTATTAGAGTTCACCTTCTGATGATTGCGATCAGAAGAATTTGAAAATATTTGCTAAAATTCAATAAATATAATGAAAAATTATCACGGCAAAATTATATAAATATATTTTTGTGAAAAATGTAATTAATTAGGTTTGAAAAAATTAATATGGAAAAATCATTACAATTGATTGTTAAGTTTATCACAGTAATATACAACCATTACTGTTTATTATTTTTTATCATCTCTTATCCTTTCAATGTGTAGCATTCTAATAAACGGCTTTTTCAAAAAAATCTCGACAATATTTAAAAATTTTGAAGTTTTAGAATTATGGACGTGTGCGAGTTAGGCTAAGTTGATGCTAACCCAAATGGGAGATTTTTTGGGATTTTTTGCACTGCACACATTTAGCCATTTATCAACACGTATCGACACATCACTACATTATCGGCACAACTTAGAATTTCCCTCATTTAGAACGCAACTTAGCCTAACTCGCACACGACCTATATATGTATTTTTCGCTGCCATGTCGACATAATTTAATATCTTCCTCAATTTATTATCAATTAACTAGAACTCGCATCTGACCTTAACATTTATTTTGGTATTCTCAAGAAATCAAAAATTATATATAAATTTCGTACTTTTTTGTTCACTGTTCCGTTCGGATATTAAGGACGTGTGCGAGTTAGGCTAAGTTGATGCTAAACCAAATGGGAGATTTTTTGGGATTTTTTGCACTGCACACATCACCACATTATCGGCACAACTTAGAATTTCCCTCATTTAGAACGCAACTTAGCCTAACTCGCACACGACCTAAGAATAAAAAGCCTGAGTAAATGGAGAATAAAAAATGTCAAAAAATGGCAAAAGAAAAATATTTCATCCGCATCAAAGCATTAATAAAATTTTAATCCACTAAATGCATTAAACGGTGCGAAAACAGTTATTTCTCAATTTAACTCAGGTGTGATATGGGCCTTTATTCACTGAGCAGCAGTTATTAATTGTAGCAAGTAGCTTATTATACGCGCTAATCAATATTGGCATCACTGTTGCGATCTGCCAAATGTTATGTTTCTGCAAATAACAAATCTTATATAAGTGCATATAATGCAAGCAAATTATATTTTGTGTAAATATAAATAATAAAGCTAAAATTAAAAATTAAAATGAATAATGAACTAAAAGCATATTTTCTTCACATACTCCCAAACATGAGCTGGTAACATTTTTTTGTTTATTAGCCGAAGTGTTTGGCCAGTATACCACTACTGACGATAGAGAACAACTTTCTGTTTTTTATCATACTTGCGAGCCACCGAAAAGGCCTATTGTTGTTTTGCGTACATTTTAGCAATTTTAAGCGAGTAACTTGTTGTTTTTGCCACACTAAAAAGCTGTCGAAAGCACGTATTGTCAAACGTCAGAGATTCTTTTTTTTTAACAATCTGAAACACTGATTTTAATACTTTTTCATTTTGACATTATCATATAATTTGGCACTATTTCTCAGCATATCTGTCAAATATACTGTCATCATCACATCGTATTCTAAAGTGGCAGAGAAAAATTGAGATTTTTCTTTTACTTTTATTTTTTTTTATATATTGAATTGTATAAATTGAAAAGTTAAATAAAGTGAACAAATAAAAACAGTACACGATAGTGTTTGCGAAAATTTTCGTATAGAAAATTTTTGGTGCTCAAATCGATATAGAAAACAGAAAAAAATGTCCAGTTCAATAGAGACAATTGGACTGAAATTGCAATCGCTGGAAGAGCGATTGCAAGCTGAAAATACATCGCGTGATGCAATGGATGTCTTCCCACAAAACACACCAAGCATACCGAAGGAACCAGCTGCACCAAGTGGCCCTAGTAGACCACGAAAGCGTAAGTTCACTTATAAAATGTTTTTTTTTTTTATTTCATAGCAAAACTTCAATTTATAAAGAACAGAGTACATTGCACAGCTAAATGACCACAAATAAAAAAAAACAATTTCATTTATACTTTAATAAAGTTATATTAAGATTATTTAAAAAAAGAAATCGGTTTTATTGATTCTATGCGAAAAAAAGTGAAATACTAGTGGCAGCGCAGTCTCACTGCCTGTCGCAAAATATTCGTATATGTGTTGTTGCTACACTTATTTAAGTTTACGTTGACGTCGTGCAGTCGTATTGGATTATATTATTTTGCGTTCGTTTACATTTGTTGTTGGTGTAGTTTACTTCACATTGGATACCACTCTGCTCTGTGTGCATTGTTTTTGTTTTTGGTATTTCCGGAGGAATGCCTTATTTTTTACGTCGTTTATGTCGCAGTCTGCGTTGCGATTTTTTTTTGTTTGTTTTATATGCGAATTTGGAATTGATTGTTTTTGTTGACTTTTGGTTGTTGTTTTTTATGTTATTTTATTTAATTGTACATATTAAATTATGAACTGTGAGAATTATCAAGTTTGAATATTGTTTTATGGTGTATGTTACTCTACTGTAATGTTAAGGTCATGAATTAAATTTTTTATCGTATTTCTTTTTACATAATTTTGATTTCAATATAATGTGCTTGATGGAGAGAGTATTATGGATTCCTTTGGGCGGTCTTTAACTCGATGGATCGTAAACGATGTCGTACGCGTTTATGTTAAAAGAGTATATGTGAATATTTTTAATATTATTATTATTATATTAATAATTTAAATAATTTTTTAAATCATTTTTAAAAATATATTATGATTACTTTTCGTCTTTATTATTGTGGTTGTCAGCCTATTTAGAGGACTAAAGAATTAGTCCTTTAGTAAATATCTGAAGACTTTTCTTTTGTTTACAGAGCAATATTTGTCAAACATTAGTGATAAAACTATTCACTTATTATATTGATCTTTTAGATTAAAAAAAATGTTAAAAAGTTAATATGCAGTCATTAACTTCACAACTTAATGTCTTATCTATTTACTTCTTCATTTTTTTACTCTCTGTATAGTATAAAGCTAAAGGATTTAGAAAAAGTCGTTCAATGGTTGAAACGGTAATAACTCTTCAACTTAATCCTTTATCTTATTTAGTCCATTATTTCACTTATACTAAAGTACGTTCATTTAGAGATAAAACTAAATATCTAATGGATTGCAACAGTAACAATGCTAATAATGGTCGAGTCTACCTTCGTTTTGTAATTCCTATTATGTTATCTGCTTTTCGGATACTTGGAGGTTACAACAACAACATTCTAAAAGCGTTTGTGTTTACGTCCCCAAACCACTCGTCGAGTTTAGCACCAAGTGCCGTTCTACATTCCCAAAAGGACTATGCAAACAAATTTTCGCGGGTTATCATCCAGTTTCAAGTATAGGATTTAAGAAGTTATATGAAATCTGTTATGACTTCAACAGTAAGAAATCACTCTAAAAGTTGTTCCCTTATTTACTTCATATAGTTTATTTCATTTTACTGACATTAAATTCGCAATTGGCTTCTATAGTAACAATTAAGTTATTGGTACAATAGGATTCTTCTGGCCGCAGTTCCGGCTGTTAGGCGATTCACTTCAATAATTTTTAATAAAAAAACAATCAAGTTTACAACATAATGCTTATCTACTCAGTTTAGTTCCCTTTCAGTCATTTAAATATAGGGGTTTAGTGATAATACTAAATCTACAATGGGCTACAATAGTAACAATTGAGTTTTTATATTTAATTTATTCCGTTGTTCAATAAGCTTGTGGAGAGATAATACACAAGTTCTGGATTAAAATACAGACTTTTTTATTTTAACTTACCTTGAAATTACGGTATGGATGATTAAGTAGAAAGGTAGATGTTATGACTTTCGGGCAACATCCGCACACTTATTTGATAAAGTTTGCAAAAACTTTTCATCTCTTTATCATACAACTGCTTTATTCATGTTAGATTATATGGGAAGAGAGGATTGTATTATTTCGGTATTAATTTTAAAAGCATTCCTTATGTCTGTCCTTACGTTGAGAAGTACTTAAATTTGTTGATGATTTATTTCAACTTATTCATTGAGATGTTAACAAAAATAAATATGTCACTTGCGAAAAATGTTTCCAGATTTAACAAACATCGAGTTGTAAGAGCAGGAAAACATATTAAGTAAACTTCCTTTCATAATCTAGTAAATAAAAATGAAAAAAAAAAATATTTTTAAACAATAAGATAATTGTGTTAAATGTGTTATTTTTATTATATTATTTTAGTAGAATCACAAAATCGAAACAGAATGCAGCTGCCTTTTATAACGCATTCACGTACTATTGAGACAGACACTGATAAAAAGCTCAAAATGATTATGACACAGACTGGTATACTCACAATTAATGGGAAGCAATTTAAAGCCGATGTGAAGGACTTGGAACATTTGGGAGACTTGGGTAATGGCACCAGTGGGAATGTAGTAAAGATGCGACACATACCCAGTAATACAATAATAGCTGTAAAGCAAATGCGACGTACTGGTAATGCAGAGGAAAATAAACGTATACTAATGGACTTGGATGTAGTACTGAAATCACACGACTGCCAATATATTGTTAAATGCTTTGGATGCTTTGTACGCGATCCTGATGTATGGATTTGTATGGAGTTGATGTCAATGTGTTTTGATAAAGTATTAAAAATTTCAAAGAAGCCAGTACCGGAAAATATATTAGGCAAAGTTACTGTAGCGGTAAGTAATATACGAGCACATTAATGGTATAGACTATACACAAATTAATTTTTTGTATTCCATAATCTAGACGGTTCGTGCGCTTTCGTATCTTAAGGAGAAACATGGTGTCATACACAGAGACGTTAAGCCATCAAATATACTAATTGATGAGCGTGGTAATATCAAATTATGTGATTTTGGTATCAGTGGACGTTTGGTAGACTCCAAAGCGAATACAAGATCGGCTGGCTGCGCGGCATACATGGCGGTATCGTATTTTACAAAATATAAGCTGATAATTATTTTACAATAATAATTATTATATATTTTTTTAATAGCCTGAACGCATTGATCCCATTAAATCGAAGTATGATATACGCGCTGATGTTTGGTCGTTAGGCATCACGTTAGTGGAATTAGCAACAACAAGATCTCCTTACGAAGGTTGCAATACTGATTTTGAAGTATTGACAAAAGTTCTACAGTCGGAACCTCCTAGCTTACCATATGGCGGAGATTTTAATTTCAGTCAGGAATTTCGCGATTTTGTCGAAAAATGGTATGTTTCATTATTAAAAGAATATAATAGTTTTTTAATAGCAATTTTTTGGTATTTCAGTCTAATTAAGGATTATCAAGACAGGCCAAAATATAATGAATTATTAGAACAGCCATTTATTAAATATTATGAAATCGCTAAAGTCGATGTTCCACGTTGGTTTAGGACCGTTGTTGAAACATCCGTTAGTGAAACGCATCAAAGGTAAATATACAGTTAATATTAGTTCAGAAATATCTTTTTTCTCTTTTGCTAAACTTGAGGTAGGATTCAGTTGCTTTCCATTTTTTTTTAAATTTTTAAATTTTTAAAAAGTTTGTTGAGTTTATAATTTATTAGGATGGTGTGAGTATATTACTTTTTTTCATTTATAATTACATTTTAATGCATTAATTTTTCTATTTAATTAAAAATGTTTAAGCATTAATTTAATTTGCTTGATAAAAATTTATCTCTTTTTAATTTTTATTTGGTTTTATTTTTGTTTTGTTTGTTTTATTTTTAATTGAAAATTGCATTTTTATGAATTAAAATTAAAATCTTAACAAATTTAACTTGAAAACCTTTAATTGATTGATGATTGTAAATTAGAATTGAACATTTTTACATTTTGCGTTTTACAATTTAATTTGTTTCTTTTTTTATTAATTTTTTTGTAGGTTACTTAATTCCTAATCTTTTACCCCCTCAAATATAATAAAACAAACAATAAATCATACTCTCCCAATTAAGTAAGTATAATTTTAATTTATTTTAATTTCTTGTTGTTAACTTTGTTTAAGAAATAATTCTTTTATGTTCACTTTTATTTAACAAAATTAATCTAAAACTTTTTTAATTAATTTGCATATAATAAGTGCAGTTTTTTATATTTTTAATGTAAATATTATAATGCTTTTTTTAACTTTAACTAAACTGCATGCTTTGTACTACTAATATTATTATTGTATGCCTTTAATCAAATCCATATTAATCACTGGGTAATGTGGATTTCAATATTACTTCTCAGTATATTTATATAATTACTATTTTATCCAAACTAACAAAAAAAAAAGAATGTAAAACTGCTCATTCTATTTGGGAGCATCGCTTACATTTAGCATAACCTGTTGTTAACATTTTATTTCTTTTCTATTAATAGGATATTCTTAATATTCTTTAAAAATATTCTTTTTCTATTTTTTTTTTTTTCGATTCTCTACAAATTTTCAACTGTTTAAAAATAAAATTAGGGACTACATATGCAATCTGTTTTATAATATTTACGTTTAACTAGTATTATTCTAAATGTTGCAATAAAACGAATCATAATATAGATTTCTATAGTATATATATTATAAAGTTTTTGTTTTTGCTATGACTTCCATGACCCACACCCTCCAGAGTGGGTTAAAGCCATAACATATGCAAATAATTAACCAATCTTCGGGATAATCCTTAAACATAAAATTTATAATTAATTTATTCATAACCTTTGTTATGATATTATGAATTTAAATACTTAATATGTGACTGATTCACTCCATCCGTAATATCGGACCTATAATACTGCAGAGACTATTCCGTATATGAATAGTGAAAGGAATAATAAGATGAATTAGGGTTGGGATGAAGATAGGTGTTGTTTTTTTAAAAGCATCATTAAGGAGTGAGTGGAAATGGAATTTAAATTAAAGTAAATCAAGATCAGGCCGGAGAAATCTAGTCACTTTTATGGGGTGGTATAGTATTTAAATCGCTTATAATAATACATCATTATAGTTATATGTTGAGAGATAAATGATATGTATAATATAATCTATAAAGAAATGCTGTATAATTACTAATTAAAACTATAGAAACACAGTTTTTATAAAATCGTTATTATGGTTGTTTGCTTGACAGTAATGCTCTTTATATTTCACTCTAGTCATATTAGCTGAGTAAAAGTATGATTTTGATTTATTTGGTAATGTTCTACCTACTTAGTTTTAGTCGTGGATCATAAATATCTATTGACGTCTTTTACTATTGATTCCTTCTTCAATTCTTTTTTTATTCCGCTTTTTTTCTTGAAAAATACTTTCCTGATATTATACATTTTTTGAATGTCATGTGAGTTAAACCTTATTCAGTTCTTTTAATCCACCAACTAAATATTTTTATAGGAATTTGGGTCCGAAAAAATCAAAAATCAAATTTTTATTGTTTAATTATTTCTCTAAGTTTTGACCTTGGACCGATAGAAAAAACCAATGCTGTGCTAGATGAGCGCTTGTTAAGGCTTTGAGATTTATATTTAGATATAGATCTTATTTATGGTTTATAAATTTTAAAATCTTCGAAAAAATGTTTGACATATTCTTTTCTGCAATTTAAGCTTTTAATATATAATAATATATATCTATATATGAAAATATTTTAGGTATTTTGAAATGCATTTTTGTTGTATTAATTGATTTTGGTCTTAAGTTCTTTTTTGCTTATTACTACCAATTTGCTTCTTAAAGAAAGCTTTAAACCTCAAACTTTCACTTCGCTTTGATTTGTAAATAAAAATATCTGTACTTCTATAAAGAATATTATAATCACTGTTCTTCAAGCGTACTACAGGGAAAACTCTCCTAACAGACATCCCACTTAAGCGGACATTTTAATAAAACAAATTATTTATTATTATTTTTATTATTTGAAACAGATTAATCCCTTTTGGTCTGGCTCCTCTCTGAAATTTTTTTAAAAATTGTTGTCTGCTCAAGGGAGTTTTCACTGTATATAGATTAATGTTGCTTGTAAGCATAAAGCCTAAACACTATTTTTAAAAGCACTCTACATTGTACTCTCCTTCATCGTTAAATACCATCAAACCATAAATACGTAATTTAAACTGTAATTAATATATATCTATATATGTACTTTTTTATATATTTAAAAATATTTTAAAAATTCGATTTTAATCACTTGTGTTCTTTCAGAAATTTTATGCCAACAACTTTAGAATCAAGTGTAGCGAATAAATTCTACAAACTAACACCAACAAATTCAAGAACAATATCAAAATTTTCTACAACGACTGCAACGACAATAACTGATAGAACAAATACAAATAGCTCGCATATACCGGGTTCTTTAACTCAAAATCAACATACGCAGCAACAACAGCAGCAACAACAACATTTAAGTCTAAATCGTTTCAAAAAGGATGATTATCATCACCAACCTACGCAACTACCTCAACCAATTTCCAATTATTACAGTAATAATCAATTGCACACAAACGAGCATATTAGTGGGTTGGGTGATAATTTAACATTAGTACCTAACAGTGGCGGCGTTGGAAGTAGTAGTGGTTATGGCGGGTCGGGTAGCAGTAGTGCGAATAGCTGCAGTCCACAATCACCACCAAGTATTGGTTATAATATAAATAGAGACGAAGCAAATATTGTAAATGAAATGAATAAGTTATATCGTAATTCGCCGTTTATGCAAAGAAAGTACAACAATGGTGCAACATATAAATATGGTTACAATAGTGGTGCTGAAAGTCCAAAGAAAGAGTCTATGTTAAGTAGCATAGGTAATTAAAACAATAATAGTTAATTGTTAATTGTCAAATAAATTAAAAACTTCTATTTTGTAGGTCAATCAATATTACGAAATTTAACTACATCACCCTTCAGTCAAAAGAAACACCCTATTATACCTTCAAGCAATCAAATCGATCCGCTTTGGCGTCTACAAAGTTCAACGGATGGTGCTGTCGCATATGATAATTACGATGCAACAGCGACAATTTTAAAAAATCAAGAATCACCTGCAATGACAAGGAAAAGGTTTCAACAATTAAATTCAACAAATATTGATACAAAACCAACAGCGACTATAAACGTAAAACAAACTTCCTTAATTCCTGTAAATAAATATGAAAGTAATCCACAACGTGTTCAGGGCAATCACAGTCCAATTGGTATAAAAATTTTTTTTTAATCTTAGCATGATTTAAATTCTAATCGGTGTTTATGTCTTTTAGTTCTTCAGCGCTTCTATCATCAACAAAATCAACTACGTGAAAAAGAATCGGTAAAACAACAACACACACATTTCTCAAAAATATCACCTGAAGCAACTATCACTTCAACAACTACAAATCCTTTTAACGCCAATTTTATGCCAACTAACACAACAATAACAACAAATTATAATAACATACATCATCAATCACACATACCAGTTGCCGCTAATATTTCTGGCAATTTGTTATCCTCATCACATTCAACAAATTCTAGTCAATCGTCTACACAGTCCGCTTCCTCACAAATCGCTGCCAGTTATGTTGAGAAACAACGTTCACCAACTACGGTAGTGAATGGTAGTACCGTTTTTGGTACAAATTCGTCTACTGCATTACAGTATCAACAATTACCACAACAATATGTTTCGATGCGTTTAAGGAGCTCACGTTCACCACCATCACCGGAACAGCATTCGGATTCTGTGCTGTTAAATAAAAGTTCTGTTGTTGGCGTTACGGAGCAGAGTAGTAGTACTGGTACTGCTAGTAAATTAAATAAATTGTATGGTAGACAACAATTACAGACGGCGGCGAGTCTGAATAGTAGCTGTAATAGCAGCAGCAGTGGTTTAACTGGAGTTTATGGTGCTTCCAAAGAAAATAATTTTAAGGATGACCAAGGTATTTTTAATATAGATTATATACAAAACACATGGCATGTATGAGTCTAGAATTTTTGTCTAAACACCAAATTACACTTACTAAGAGTTTTTTTGTTGGTAGTTTATCTTATAAATATTTTGTAAATTAATATTTTTTTGTTTTAAATTACTGCATGATCATTTAATTAAAATTTTAAACTCATTTTGTATAAATAATATAAAAAAATTATATATCATTACTACTACCATTAACTATGATATTAATTTACAAATTCAAACTCTTTTTGTATAAAAAAAAGTATATAGTATTATTATTATAACATTAACACATTAACACATATATAAACATTTTATTTTGCATTATATATACATAAAATAATATCAAATTTAACATAACTACTAAAATAATTTTGATTTTTGAGAGTAGCAAAAGATTACTAGTACACCCAACTCTTTTTTTACACGGTAGATACGTTCCTCAGAAATCCGTGTAAAAAAAAAACCGTGTAAAAAAAATGCCAAGTGTCAAACAAGACTGATTTTAAAACCGTACTAGATAAAAAATTTTTTACAAAAATTTTTTTTTTCAACCGTGTAACTTCAAATCCGTATAAAAAGAAACCATGTAAAAAAAGAGTTGGGTGTATATTTTAATTATGATTTTAATCTGACAATAAATCTGTGAACGAGTTAATCTTACTAGCAAATTAATAAATAGTTTCATAGATTATGACCAGTTTTTTATATTGTTTAGTTAATATTTTTGAAGAAGGCTACTTGTTATTTTTCTTTGGAATTTGTATCCAAATTCCATGCTGCAGATGTTATTCACTTTTGAACTGTTCCAGCCCTTGGAGTAAAAATTGATATATTTGATGATATACTAATATTTTTTAATTATTATGTCGCGGATAGTTGAGTCAGTGCACCTGAGCACTTTTACTCTCTATTAACTGCGAGGTTTCTTCAAAACCTCTCTTTGCGCCTTGACTGGATTATTGTTTATCACTTCATCAGACTAAGCAATAATTGACCTCAGATCTGCATATCTCCCCGAGGAGCTTGTAACCATTCTGATAACGCGGTGTTAGTAAGTCTGTCAGATTTCGCAAATAATTTCAGGGCTCTATCCTTTATGTATTTTTTGATGGGATCAATCTTGAGGTCCCTGAGGATGTCATTCGTCCTAATGTACCAAGGAACTTTGAAAAGTCTTCTCAGAGCCTGGCTTTGTGCAATTTCTAATTGGTGAATAGTAGTGTTTGAAGCTTTGCTAAACGCTACTACAACCATATAAAAGTGACGAACGAATTATTTGGTTATATATCAGTTTCCTGTTCTTAGCATTCAGGTTATTTTATAATTTATTAGTGTTGCCGAAAATGACTAATGACTAAGAAGCTATTTTTAAAATTTAGAGGGTTTTCGAATAGCAAAGAAAGAAAGGACAAACACAAAAATTTAGTTAATTTATTGAGATTTGTTTGACCATTTTTTGTCCAAAGTTACGCGTCTTATGACGAGAAGAAACTATTTAAAAGTTAGAAGGGTTCAAAAAGAAATGAAAAGACAACATCAAAAATTTTAGTTTATTTATTGGTCAGCTAAACTTCAAAAAATTAACTAAAGTTTTTGTTTTTGTCTTTTCATATATATTCGAATCCTTCTGACTTTTAAAATTTTTTTTTTATCATTTACCCGAAGTTTCATTGGATTGTTTTTACCAACATCTTCAGGGGTATAATTATTAAAAATTAATAATTAAAAAATTTTTTTTTCTGTTTTTGAGCTCTTGCTTAAACTAAACAGTTGATCGATTTCTCTTAAAGATTATTGGTTAATTATATTACCATATTATTCAAAATCAGATTTTATATATTCTTATTTTGCATTTTTATCGCAAACTCCTCTCAGCAGAAATGCCGTGTGACTGTTAATTTGAAACACCTCAGGGCAGATATCTTAAGTTTAGCGGCGTTAGGATCAGTTTTACTCACACGGCCAGTCTTAATCTTCATAAGCTTCTAAAATTTAATCCTTCATGCAGTTATATTTATTTACATTATCAGTTTTAATCTTCATTAACTACTAAACTAGACTGAGTTCTTATATTTGTGTAAATATGTAGTTGTTGATTGTAATCCTAATTGGAAAAGTAAGTTTCAGGAAATATTAGTTTTACGGTTTTGAGTTTTTTCGGAATTATGAGCAGTTTAAAAATTTCTGGTGCAGTTTCTGTTTTAAAACAGCTTTGTTTCTATGAAATTATATGATTCCATATTCGCTTTTATTTAATTCATGCATGTTTGCTAATAATAAGCAAAAATGTCTTCTGAATATCGATTTCATCAGAATCTTAGATTTTAGGTGGACTATATAAGTCAATTCACAATTTTTTTTTTTTAATAATTGTTCGAAAGTTGAGCTGTAGGAGCTGTAGTTCAGCTCCTATTAGGAATAGACGCATTTATGTGTGACAAGTAACTGTTTAACGTATGACTATATTCTGATCTCAATTCAGTTAGCACAGGGAACACATGGTTCTTTCTTGGAGATATGAGACGGAGGTCTATTGAGAAATTTGTTGCAGTGTAACCGTAGTCTGGAAGAGGATACTACATCTGTGTTGAGAGCTGTTAGCCCACATTTATATTCAAGTTCTTTGGTGTTAGTTCTATTGCAATAGGTGTCGACATATTCAAGAACTGCCTTGCTGGAGACACTTCTCGAGTTGAACGAACAAGTCCCGTTAAGCACACTCACACACGCATGTGTTTGCTTTGTAATAGGAGTGATATGTATCACTTGGTTTTCGCAGTGAGTTGCTACAGACTTTAAAGCCGGTTGCTTTTAAAGCTAGTTAATCGATTATTACTAATCTTTTGCTCTTTTAGATTATTTCTCTTTAATTTATATTTATCTAAAAAATACCATATGAAATATATCTATAAAAACTATCTAAATTTTTGCACACATCATTTTTGCTTGCATTTTTCTAACTTTAACAAAACAAATGCTTTTACACGCTTTAAATTTCATGCACTTTTTCACTTTGTCAACATCATCAACCAACATACACAATTTTCGTGGCACAATCATGCATTTACTACCATTCACTTTATTGCACTTGCACTCTGCTGCTACTGCGCATGTGCACATGCACGTTTGCACATACTTAGGCTGGTTTAATTCAATTACAGGTGCAATGAAACGTCAGTTTGCATCTTATGTTAAATTAAATTTAAATTCCTCAGCTGCAAACTCATCAACGGTCGATGTCAATAAAACGAGTGCTAATTCTAAATCATCACTGCCCTATTATCGCACCACGTCTGCGGGTAGTAGCAGTAATACAAGTAATAGTACATCACCTACAGATGTACCCAAAACAAATATTGGAAACATAGACTTTCAAGATGGTGGCAATATCGGCACGAGCAGCTTTCTAAGACGATATGCAGCTGGCGTATCCAGTGGAATGGGTTCATCAACAAACAATTCACATATTTTAACTGGTCTGGATCGTCGACATCGCAGTCCAGATCCGCCACCACGTTATAACCGTGGACAATCACCATTATTATTACGGAAAAATTTACTTGAATTAAGTGGACAACCACAGATTGGTTCACCATTATTAAATCGACGGTAAAAAAATATATTAATTTTTTTTTAAATTACGATTTATCTATAATTGTTTTGTTTTTTTGCAGATATGTAACTGCTTCACCGCCGTTACCACCACCCCGAAGGGGTTCTGAGAGTGTGCCAGGTTCGCCGCAACATTTTCGTACACGTATACATTATACACCTGAACCACAGCGACGTATCTATCGTACGATAGATCAATGAGTAGCGCTACAAATTATGGTTATGTGATATTGGTATGGTTTTGATAGCGGTGACACGAATGCAGAAGTCGATACGTTTACAGCTGATGCCAGTGGTGGTACTGCTGCAAATTCAGCAATAAATATTGCTACAAACTCTAGTCATAGCGTGCCATCACTTGAGACGAAAAAAATGTTACGGCAACCAGATAACTATTGGTTGTCAAAGTAGCGGCAATTGGTGCAGTGGTGCTGGCAGTATTTTTTATTATGTGTGATCTTATTTTAGTCGAAGTTATACTTGTTCTTTGCCAGAAAGTGTGTTCAGTTTTATTTTACTGTTTCCGTAAGAAAATAGTTCAATGAATTTATTTATAGTAGAAAAAATGGTTAAATCAATTCATGTGCTACAATACTGCAATTTCATTTTTATTAATAATATATGTACATTAATTGTATTTTATGTTACAAATCAAATTTTCAATTATATGAAATAAAAAATATTTTCTATAAGTATAATATAACACTTTATGCATTAATGGTTTACCCAACGGTTTTCGTAATAAAAACAAACAATAATGTGATGTATTCAACATATTTATACATACAAAAAATTAATAATGTATACATATTAAATATATACGTAAATACTGTATATATATATATATATAAGTATATTGTATATAATATTAATTATAAAATATTAATATATATCTATATACATATATATATGCATAATGTAAAAAAACGTTTATATAAATATATACACGTTCATAATGTATACATATAATGGTCGATGTATATATGTATATATATAAATATATTGCATATGTAATATAACATAATGTAACATAATATATATATATATATATAATTTATAAGATTGCATTACATATTTTAACATAAAATTATATATAATTTTTGTTTCAGTTATTTTATCTGACATTATAAATTAAGCTTGTAGTAAAATCACGGTAACACAGTGGGCCAATAGGCCTAAGTGGATCCATTAGGGATCGCTGGTATAACTTAAAGCAAATCATAGTTTTGAAAAAAGCTGTATAACTTATGTAAAAATCGCATTTAACTTGCTCGGATTTCACTACACATCTTTTTGAATATTTATTTGAATTTATAACAGATTTGTATATCAGTTTTAGAAATTTAAACAGAATTTTTGATTTGTGGAGTTGAACCATAAATCGATTTATGCTTTTTATGTATAATTTACATAAAAAGAAAATTGTATTTTATAAAAAACAGTATTTTATTTTGCTATATAATTAATTTTTTTTTAGACATTGAAGTTGTCTTATCTTTCAATAATAAAAATTTTATTTTTCAACTTCTAAGTGTATATATACTTATAGCTCATATAAAGTAAAATTCCAATATATATATATATAATTATTTGAGATATAATATTATGTTTATAGCAGTTTAACATTAATACTTTAGTAATTCTTTATCAAATTCTTGTGAATTTAAATTTATAGACATCTTCGTTGCTTAAATAATTATGTAAATTTTTTTAATGATTTGCTATTCGAAAAATATTTATTTTGCGTTTATTTTTTGAATATAACCTTTAATTACAGTTTATAACACTTTCTGTGCTTAAAAAGCAGTTTTTGATGAATTTACAAAATCATTATTAAAATTTTTGAAACAAATTTTGTAATAATTGAAGTACATATTTTAAATTTAAGCATTAATCCTGCAAGTGTAACAATTCCGATTTTTTTATAACATCACATGTGCATGTATATCATCTTTTTATCACTCTTTTGGAAAAATACAAATACATATAAAATAAGCAGTATAAAAATAATTTTATGTAGTAAAACATTTAAAATAAAAACGTAATATATATTTTTTAATTCGTGGTAATTACATTAACATTCGAAATATATGTATAACCCTTAAACTGAAGTATAATCAGTAGTACATAGTGTTTTTGAATTATTGCTTTACATTGTAGTAAAAGGAATTGTAATTGATATACAAACATATTTTGTATAATAGAATGTTTATATATCTATATATATATTTGTATATATAAACGTATATAAATAATTTTGTAATTGTGAATATTTTGTACCATTTGCCATTAAAAAATAGACGAATTTGTTGTTTAAGTAGCAAAAATATTGAAAAAAAATATTTTTTAATAAATAATTAATTTTTATTTTTCTAAATAAATTCCGATATAATTAAATCAAAAGTGCAATAAGAACAATATGAAAATTTTTATATTTTTGTATTTGAAATTATAAAAACAATTTTTGGTAAAAATGAGTTGCTATAGTCATTGCAGTATTGTTGATCAGAACTGCAGCACAATAAAAAAACAATTTAAATATTTGATAATTTAAATGTTTAATAATTCGTTACATATAAGCTTTATTTTATTTTACAAATAATGGTTTAAAAATATCCTCAACTGTTATTAAGTTCCTTATATATTAATGGAAATTTGTTGGTGTAGTAACACGAAACTATCTTTCATATATCAATATATTAAAAAAATCATCGAGTTTTTTTTTTATCATATTTAATCGACTGATTATGGTTTTGAAATTATAATTTATTTAAATTATTTGCAAAAACAAAGTAATATAAAAAATATAGACAACATTTAAATATTATGAATGACAATCCATAATTAATTAATTTTATATATATAGTAATGAAGTTTATTTAATTTGTTAAACAATTTTGAAAAATAAGATCTGAAAATAATTATAACTATAAAAAATTCATTTAATAATATATACTATTTGTAAATTAAACAACACAATAATTTTTTTTTCTTCTGATTCATTTTATTTAAAAAGCGTTTCCCAAACTTAAAAATTAAAACAAAATTTATAATTATAAACTTTTGGACAAAATATTATTTATAAGCAAATTATTATATAAGAAAAATTATAATCAAAGCTTACATATATATAAAGGGTATATGAATTCGTAAACATATGACATAAATTCTTTGTGTAGCTTTCGAAAATTCTATATACACCACTATATATTAAAAAGTATTTATAACTATTAAAAGTTTATATAACAAAACTTAGCTTTTGCATATAAGTGAAACGAACTCAAATTTCATAAAAAATCAAAATAACAATTTAAAATAAATACTATTTAGTTAAATATTATTATACATATATATTATAAAAAAATCCCACTCAGTTAATAGCTTCATTTAAAAAATACAAATTTTTGTTGAATTTAAACGATCTTTAGTAATTATATAAAAAAAAAACAAAAATATATTAGAAATTAAGTTTTAAGTGTAAGCTCGTTTGTAGTTTTTAAAATAATATTTTGTTTTTAAAATGTTTTATTATTATTTTTTTGTCATTAAAGAAATAGACACAACTTGAGTAATAGTTATGTATGTACCTTACAAAAATATTGTATTTATAAAAAAAACGTATTGTATATTTTATTTTTATTTTTAATTTTATGTTTAAACAAAATATCCTATTTTCTAGTTTCCATTATAATATATAATATTATATATATTTACAATTATTTACATTTAAATTAAAACAAAAAAAAAGTAAAGAAATGATAATTAAAAAATAAGTATAAAACCAATAAAAATATATAATCATGATAGAAAAAAGTTGTTTTATTTTTAGGTACAAATCAATCATATACGAACGGAGTCTTTTAAGTTTTTAAGTTTTGCCATTCTGAAGTTAGTGTCTCCAAAACCGGGGTTTTAAAACGCTGGTGAGCTGGCCTTTTTTCTTAATATTTGAAAACAAGAGGAAGTCATTGTAGGGCGAATAATACAGAAATTTGAGGTTTTGAGTGCTCAAAAACTCTTTTATTTGAACTGATGTGCGGGAGCTCGCATTGTCGTAGTAGAGGGTGAACTTTCTTAGACGGTTAGTTTTCCTGCAAAGAAGTGGTCATGTATTACTCAAAATTGACCGTTCTATGTTGTTCATGTGGTGAAGTTTCTGAAAAAATGAGACCAGTTGCTTGGACTTACTCCGCCCGTGCACAACTTTTGTCGGATTCTGCTTACTTTGAAAGACCCAAACTGGATTGCTGTTATGTTTCGAGCTCATAAGGGTAGATCCATGATTCATCACCTGTCACGATGACGTAGACATATTTTGAGTTACGGCTACCGTATCTTTTCAGCATTTTCTTGCACCAATTAACACGCGTTTTCTTTTGAAAATGAAAATGTAAAATGAAATATATGCTCGTCCCTCTAATGCTCAAGGATGCCTCTATCTCCCGGTATGTAACATGTCGATACATCTCAATCATTTCTCGCACTGCATCGATATTTTCTGTTATAATAGTTATTTTTTGACGAAATTCATGAAAATCGTTATGGAAAAAACGGCGACCACGCTCGAGTTCACTAAATCAGCGTTTTATAGTCTCTGGATGTGGTGTTTCATCACCAAATGTCGAACTAAGTCGATCGATGCATTATTTTCTGGTTCATTCGCCTTGAAAATCGTATAAAATCTTGATACGAAAATGTTTATTATTTAATTCCATTTTAGAATCGATGTAAACAAAACAATATGTGGGCGTAAACTAAAACGATATAATGACATTTATGCTAGAAAATGTTCAGACTTTCGAATAGAAATGTCAGAATTCATTTGGCAATACTTACACAGTTTTGCCTAGGCACAAGACTTAAAAGGCAGCTTACGTATAGATATTGGATTTTAGATTAGTACACTTCTAGAGGACATATTGTCTATTGATTATATATATATATCTCATTTACTACTAAGTGTAATGCTTGTATAGAATTAGATTTCCATTAGCAATTACCTTTTATATTAGTTTGTCTGAAGCAGTGTTTATTGGGTACTTTAATTGTGTTAATCTATTCAATTCTAGTTGTAAGGTCTTGAATTCTTGGCATAGAGCAAGCCTAGTACCACTTTAATCTTTGTATTTGAACTCACAAAGTATGTTGGATTTGAAATAAACTTTTATTCCATAACCAGTAACTAAAAGTCTCGCAATTGCGACTATTTTCAGTCTATTGTCAACATATAGTTTTGTTGGCAATAGACTGAAGCTGAATACACTCCCTCCCTCCATTATATTTTGGCAGCAGAAAGCCATGTACTCAGAGCGTTGACGCACAAACGTGATGTTTCGAAATTTTCTTGGGTTTAAACACATAATTATTTAATCCTATGTAGATTTTATGACGAATGGTATATTTAAATGCTTCCGGATAACCTTTTTTGGACACCATGTCTATGACTGTATGTGAAAGAAGGCATATATAATTGGCGAAGACCCAATCTTCCAAACGAAACGCACATTCGTTTCGTGGTCCAAACAACGACTCAGACCTTATTTGTCACAGCCGAGATACGGACACGAGTTATTATTGGCAAAAACAGATATCTTTCTGCACATAGAATCCTTGGCATTATTAAGCTGCGAGGT